TAAAATATTTTTAAACATTATTTAAATATTAAGAATAAAAAATAAAACACTATACTAGATTTGTATAATTAGCGTTAAATTTTCTTTAAAACATCAAAAATAAAAACTAGTAAGGCAATATTATAATAGTTATGTTTATATATAAATATATACATATATCTTAATATATATATTTCTTGTGTGCGTAAAAATGTGGGTTTATGATACCAGTCGCACATGATTGTATCGTTATTCGACACAATCAATTTGACGTCTACAAAGCTCAAAGAATTTCCATCCTGCATCTGAATCGTGAACTTCAATCTGTCATTATATTCGTTGAAATTATCCAAACGATAATTTAAGTCGTTGGCGGGCACGGTTAAAATAATAAATAAGAATTATTATAGGAATGATAGACAGAGCTCTGTTGTTGTCCCATCCTGTGTTTCAAGCAAAAAATATAAATAATAGACAAAGTAAATATCCCCGAGACATCCAGTGATTATCCAGTGGACATTTATATTTTTTATACTACATAACAATTCTAAAGTACATTAAATATCTTATATAATTAAAAGTACTCATGTATACATAGTAAGTTTTCATACAATACATTTATGATATCTTAAAATATCCTGTATATGTCCTGAGCTGTCTTGGATAATTCTAAGGATGTCTTATGCTGTATGAATTTATATTTTATATATTAAATACCTGAATATCATCTGGATGACGTATTCCTATCCATGGTAAATGAAACAACCATATTCTTACGATTGGATAGTATTGATCAACTATTTCCAATATTTTGTTCCATACTTCGTCTAAGAAATATAAGAATACACTGTCAAATTTTATAAGATAAAGTCTATTCTGTTCGGTTTTTCGAAAATTGAGATTGAGACAATATTATATAAATACAAAATAAGATGTATATCAAAATATGTTTTTATGACATTTGAGGTTTATTTTAGAAGAAATATTAAAGAAATTTTAATAATTTATTACAAAAACATAAAGTATATCGTCAGTTTATATCTTTATGTTTACTGTTTGCAAATATATAGTTACATTTACAGTTTAAAGATTAAAAAATATTGCAAATACTTATTATTTTTTATACATACAGAGAGAAGATTAAGAGCAGTTACATTAAATCAAATTTTTTCCTTACCAATTGACACGTTGAAGAGAAGTGAGTTTCCTAATACTGGTAAAGGTGGCGGTCCCGGAAGAAGATTTAGAAGTCGTCCTTTTTTTCCATAATGTACATAATAATGATGTATTGATACAAGAAGTATAATAACCAATACTACAATAATAATCATTGTTTTGTGACGTTATACGTTTACTGTGTTTTCTCTTGTAGTATACGTTCTTTTAGATCTTCTTAGGTGATATGATACTACAAAGTTATTTTATGTTTTTTATATTAAAAATAACTGTCGTTATTTTTAATACAAACTGTCGTTATCCTAAACACACAAAATATAAACAATATAAAAAATAATATGTTTTTATAGAAAAAGTAATAATTAAATTAATATAAAATAATAATAATATTAAATTAAAAAATAATAATATTAAGAATAAGTTAAGATATCAAGAGGCACGGTAGTGCCTCGCGCCAAGTTCACGCGCAACGAAGTGGCGCTCGAACTGCGCGAGCACGCCGTGACTCTTATATACGCGAAAATGAGGTTTTTCAGTGGAGGGGAGATTTTTAATCAGCTATTTCTTAATAACGACTGAACCGAT